ATTAGGCATTAGGCATTAGGCATTAGGCATTAGGCATTAGGCATTAGGCATTAGGCATTAGACATTAGGCATTAGACATTAGGCATTAGACATTAGGCATTAGGCATTAAGCATTAGGCATTAGGCATTAGGCATTGGGCATTAGGCATTAGGCATTAGGCATTCTACATTAATATTTTACTATATACTGCATTTGATTGTATGAGAATTGCATAGAAAGGCAATATATAAAAACAAAATTATGTTGTTTATGATTTCCTGGCTCGTTTCATTACGTCGAGTTATTAAGAAGTAATTCATATGCCAGCATATATGAACTGCTTTCGCAGTGGCTGGCGAGGAGATTCGCATTTTCGGATATTAACACAGGGAGGAGCTGACCCCAGAAGCCAGAAGCGACTTGATTTATAGGCGCGACTTTACGGCTATGTTTTGTATGCTTTGTTTCTGCTCTTCTTCCACTCATTGCTGCTGCTGTTGTTGTTGTTGTTGTTGTGGCTGACAGCAAACTAAGTGCGAATCATTTAGGAGCGGAACACCCGCAGCACCCGCTCCCCGCCCCAGTCCGGCGGCCTGACTGCCCGGACCCTGGCCCAGGCCCAGGCCCAGGCAAAACTTTTAATAATAATTTGCAAATAAATTACAGCCAAGTTGGTGGCAGGCGCCGCGCTGCGTCGCGATTTGCTCCGCCCCAAAATTCGTTCTTTGTCCTACATGCTGCGTCCTTTCGCCGTTAGAGGGTCCATTAGAAGGCATTGAGCAATTGTTGTTGCTTGTACATTAAGAACTCATTGGCATAAATTGCAATTTAATGTCTGCCCGTTCGCCCCATGCCTGCCTGCTGCCTCTTGTTATACCCTGTATTAATTGATAGCGCGTCAAATGGGCTGGTTTGATGGAAGAGATATATACGTACGTACATATATACATACATAAGTGCTTCCATAGGACATCGCAAATACTTTTGGGATATAAATCTATGATATTCTATGGATATTTATCAACAGGTGAGCTTCTATAAATATACTAATATACAATATATATATATACATATGTGTATTTTCGATCTGATTCTATAAGGCTTTTAGGATCAACAGCATAGTATTATATTATCCATGACTTATGATCTTTATCAGCTGGCTGTCCGATTGATATACTCGAGTCCTTTTCATATCTCTAGCCATCAAACTATTGTTATTTTGTTGATATCAATATGAAAGTAGTTCTCTATATCGAATAGATACGCATTAATTACATCTTTATCTTAGAGATATTCATTAGATCCTTAAGTTGACTTTAGAGATAGTCTAGACTTATTTCTGCTTTTACATCTATATAATATATATGCTTTTCTCGTCGTAGTGGTTATATAGAATATTCAATTCCAACTTTTTACTCACTTTAATGCCTTAATTAAAACTATGTTAACTACAAATATCTCTCTTTCCATAGCTATTGATAAATATCGATGTTGGGCTAAAGAAATTACTTCCATTTGCCATGGAATTGGTATTAGTTAGAGCAGCTAATATTATTGTCATGCCGTTGCAGGGACTGGGATGTATATTAAAAAATATTATTATATATATTATCTTAAGTCCAGATAGTATTGTATGCACCTTATACAAAATTGGGCGTCATATTTATTTATTTGATTCACGTATGTAGCTGCACAGCTTTAGCTCTCTCTCTCTCTCTCTCTCTCTCTCTCTCTCTCTCTCTCTCTCTCTCTTTCTCTCTCTCTCTCTCTCTCTCTCTCTCTCTCTCTCTCTCTCTCTCTCTCTCTCTTTGGTAGCGGTTGCACTTTACAGGGTATC